ACTGTGTACTTAGTACAAATTTGGGATACTGCAACCCTGCAGAAAATTTGCATTTCCATTTATATAATTTCAGTTTCTAATTCCAGCGTAAACCCTAATACATATGCATAGTTATTTTCAAAGAATGAAACAAATCTTTAACTAATAAATCGCTGTGCTGTTTCACAAAGAAGCGAAAGCCTGATCTTTCATAAATAAAAGGTCAGGAAGGTGACCCAAGCCTTTTAAAAAACTGATTATTTTTATTTCTGTTTCATTCCAGCACTGGCCTCAGAAGAACAAAAGTTGTACTTTGGGGTGTTCATCCCACCTTTATCCAACCTGCATTGAGAGAAAGATAGACTTCATGGAGTCCAACCTAGATTTCAAGGATAAGAGTCTAGGAAGGTTGTTGTGTGAAGGATTTTATTGGTGAATCCCCACTATGCTAGAGGAAAGCTCTGCTGGGGACTACCTACATCAGCTAGTAATTGTGTCTCTCTTGTGGTCAAATAACAAGATGACTTTGCTGACCAGACATTGTCCTTTGGGAACTGCAGTTTCAGCTGTGGATTTTGCCTGAGGGAAAGCTGAGCTTCCAGGAGGATACATCTTTCAAAACACAGTCAGTATTACAATGGAATGGAGGCATCATCTATTTTAGGAATTTACACAAGTAACAAATAACTTAGGAATCTTTTGGCATGTGCAAAATGTATAATCCATGTACTGCTTTCCCAAAAATGAGTAGAAACGAAATGTCCAGCTACACTTCAATATAAGTCTGCCAATGCTCTCGATGAGCACTCTGAGGCCTTTTCCATTTCAGAGATTTTCGATCCTAGAAGTGTCTATTTGAACCAATTTTTTATTTTGTTAAAGGAAACTTAGATGCAAGCTGAATATTTTCAAGTATAATTTTGTAGATACAAACATGTGGGTATTTTCAAGTTTAGTTTTGTATTTTATTTCTGTTCCTATTGAAGTATCCAAAATATTTCTGGCATGAAATAACAGCCTGTGTTATGCACATGGAAGAAAAAATAGAAAAAGAAAATAAAAGACAATTACAAGTCCAGTTAAGAAAAGAGATTCTTAAAACTGGCAGATACTTGTTTTGATGCTTTTATTGTCACTGTCATTTTAGTTATATTATATTGTTCCAGTTGGGGATAATATCTCATTGTTCTAAGCTTTGTTCTAATTTGTTCTAATGGTGACATTGGTTTCAGAAAGATCTAAAACTTTTCCTGAAGCATCTCTGTGGCTGAAGTAAAATGTAACTTGTCTTTTCATATAATCTAGATTTGAGTTTGTTGGAAAGAGACTTTTGTCATCTGCAACTCAGTCAGGCACTGCTTGCTCTGAAACAAATGCAACTGTGGATGCGGTTCCAGATCCCCATGAGATTTCTACACAAGGGTGGATTTTAGCCTTGATTCTGCAAATCTTACCGAGCTCAGCAGTCCGCAGAAGTGCCATTGCAGCTGACACTCTGGCTGACTAAAGAAGATCCCTGTGGGCTTTGCATAAACTCTTTTGCTTTAATGTTTGGTTTTTGTTTTTTATTTTTAATGTTGTTGTGAATTGCAATTTTCCATTCTTTCACAGCTACTTGTGGAAAATTTTATCTGTCCTTTCTCAACATATGTCAGAGACAGAAACAAGTCATTAAGAGACTAGCAGAACTTGGCTGGGTCTAGCCCCTGCCTGCACTTCAGAGCAGGTAGATTAGCTGCTGAAGACTGCAGCAGACAAGCTGCACTAGCAGGTTTGTAACAAAAGCCCTGTAACTAACCATCAGCTTGACACTTCACTTGAAAAAGTTTAGCTGTTGTTGTTCTCACAGGAAAAAGGAACAAGAAGAGCATGCAAGTGGCTACAGCATTGCAATACCTTTCTGTTTTTCTGAAAATGTCACTCCGATGATATCCTGTAATCTCAGTGATGCAAATCCTTCTCTATTAGGGAACAACATTAGCAAACAGCCTAGCTTTGTGGTCAGAAATGCCTTTTATACTCTAAAAACAAATGAAACAGTACAATTGAGCATGCACAAATGTTTCCAGATGGTAGCATACATTGTAAGTACACCGAAAATGTAGTGGTTTTACCTGTGAAGACACTTCTTTTTGCTAAGGTGCATTGTGGATCCTAGTAAATGCACTAAGGCCTATGAAATTATCAGATACAATCTACCCCTCATACAAGATCATCCATGACTGAAGCTACATGGGTTTCCAAATGCGCAAGTTTGATTTGCAGCAAAGTTGTCACTACAGCTTTTGGTTTCTGAATTTCAACTGTGAAGAGAGATACATGAAGACAGCAACCAAGGCAAAGGTACCAACCCTGCTTCCCAGGCAGGCAAAAGGAGCCTTCTGGGAGTACTTCAGGGGAGCATGATCCCAATGCTGCTGGGGGTGGATGGAGGTAACTGCCCTTGCTTGAGAGTCTGATCTGTCAGCATCCAAAATACCTTATTTCTCCTTCTCTACAATGAAAAAAAAATTAGAATAGTCAAATGCATGCAAAACTGCCTTCATATTCCTCTAAAATCTTAATTAAAAGATACTGTGGCCAAGAGTCATATTTCTTGTACTTTTATTTGCCTTCAAGATCATACTTCTGTACACAGCAGTAGATGGCTATGTAGATGGCTTTCAAGGGACAGTGATGAGTTGTTAGCTGAACATTTGTCAATTATAGTTGATGGGAACTTGAGGGGAAATGCTACAACCTACGTAGTAAGACTGAAAGGGAAAAGAGAAAAGTATATAGTTCTTTAGATTAGAAATACGGTGTAAAAAATCCAGCAAAGGTACAAAACAAACACAAATCCTTTCTTGTTTTCCCTTCCAGTTTCTCTATCCAGGTTTATGTTTTCATAGTGGATGAGCAAGCTGGACTACAGAATGGGGTAAAACCACAAATATGCAGGGCAGGATAAATAAGAAGAACATGCTTGCAGCACATGGGCTATGTGGTATTAGAGTGCCAAAGTTGGGAAGGAGACGGGGAAGAAATGGTAAGGAGTATAGCACATCTTTTCTGTACATTAAAGCAATGAAAATACTGTTAAACAGTAAGACTTTGCCTACTGTTAACTAAAGTTCAAGGAAGGCTGAGGATGGACAATAGTGACAGCCTTGGGATCTGAGACTGCTCCTGAAAACACGGACAGGCTTTGCGTGTGCTGGCCACCAGCTCATTATCAGTTTTCCTCTTGCCAGATAAGGCAAAATCACCTCTGAGCACAGATAGTTGGCCTCAATTTCTGGACTTCCATCATTCAAACAGTCTATTTCAATTAGACAGTATTACTAATCCTTAGAGTTTCTGTCATTTTTTAACAGGAAAATCTTAAAAGTATTAGCAAGTCTCACCTCTGACATTTCTGTCTGATAAGTGTTAATGTGTATGACTATGACATTATATTAAAGAATATCTCCTAGAAATATTTGATTAGTTGGTCAGTGTACTGGTTTTAAAACTCAGAGCTCCTCTTTATCTACTTGTAGGTGCAAATGTTGCAACTTTGCTTTTTCTCTCCATTATTTTATGAAGTTCATAACCATACATTGCCAATACTATGCAACCAGTTCAGATTTTTAGTTAACTATACCATTCAAGTGGCTTAAATCTATCAACAAGCTGGTCATTAAATGAATCACTGACCTATTTCTTAGCTACTCAAGTGAAATAACCTGTAACTGATGACCTGTAAAAGCATCAGTATGTTAAGAAAAATTATTCGCTGGAGAAGCAGAGCAGCAATTGATCACTTCCCACCGATCTGAACAGAAACATTTACCAGCTTCAACAAATTCTGACCAGAAATCAGATTTTGGCAGACTGATGTCTAAGGGAAGTACAATGAAGCTCCTACACAGTGACCATTCAACCCTCCTTCCTTGGATTACTACTGGAAAATGTTATGTAAGTGTTTAAAATGTCTCTAACCTGTGATGCTCCAGAGTAAAATCTGGCACAATCTCCTCAACTCAGAGAGATTAATTTTAAACCTAGCACTTATTTCTACAGTGGAACAATCCAAATATATGGTCCAACCACTCTCCCTGCTTGGGTACCTGTATGGTTTAGATTCAGATCCAAATCCTGGGTCCTGGCTAGGCCCATCCTATATAGCGAGAATATTGAAATGTTTGGTTTAATTACCCACAGAGCACCACCCAACAGGAAATGCATGGAAGCCCTTGGCCAGCTCTAACATGTTTCTGAGTGTGTGGACTCAGAGAGTGGTGGGAACAGAGGACCGGGGTGGGGGGGATGACAACAATAGCATTTGGGGGAGCAACAGCCAAGGTCTGCACACACAGACAGAGACTGCCAAGGGGGAGCAAAAATAAAGAGGAAGGGACACAGGATTACCTTCCCCTTGCCACATCAATCAACCGTGGCACTGTGGGCCCCCATGCCAGGCCCTGCATCCTGGTGGGGATTGAAACTTTCTGTCCCCTGTCATCTGCAGCCATCATCATACTGGTGTCTCAGCACTTTCTTGCTAAGCCACCTGCTTGTAACAAAAAATGATGTGGTTTTCTGCTTTTTCCTCTTCTTCTGCATGAACCAGCCCAGAATACTCAGTTATAGGCTCCTAGGAGAGCCAGCCATTCATCCCATTCGCTGAAGACAACCCACTAGGGGGTTGCCTTTTGGGAGTGTAAATGCACACAGTCTCCCACCCCGATGTGGAAAGAATTACAGCTTGAAAACCAAGGCAGGAGGGGAGGCGCTATTGCTTAACCACCCTGAAAAGTGACATAAAACCTTCCTGCTAACATACATATATGAAGTTTTGTGTCTGATTTGTATTTGTATGATCTGTGGCAATGTGTGTAGATGAAAATAGAAGGTAATAAAGTCGGGAGTGAAAGGAGAGGAAGAGAGCAGGAGCTCTCTCTCACCTAGAGCATAAAGGTGGTTCAGCCAAGTGTGTGCCTGAAGAGCAGCTTCTGGTTTTTTTCTTCTCTCTTTTGCAATCATTGCTCGCTTGACAGGCCCAGACGGAATTACATCACTTCCTAAAACCCATCAAAGAGAGTCCATCTCCTGAAGAAATGCAGCTCAAATGCACCCCGGCAGGAAGCAGGAAATGTAGATGTTTGGGTGCAGCAGGGAGCCTGCCAGAGCACCTCTCAGGTGGGAGCGCTGCCGGCCAGCATGCGGAGCCCCGGGCTCATCACTCTGCTCTCTGCCCTGGCGCTGGCTGGAGGATCTGCTGGCAATGGTGAGTAAGAAAGCTTTCTCCTGCCGAGGTGGGACCGCGTGTCTTGCCCGCAGCAATGGGACCAAGTTGGAGGGGAACACCCTCCAAACTGAGTACTGGGAAAAAGATCTGTGGGGACTTGCTCTCTGCTGCTTTTTGCTGTGTTTACCCTCTCTGTTTTCAGCTGTTTTTTTTCAAAGCTTTGACTTTTTTTCCCTTAGACCTATCCCCAAACAGCAGCAAACAAATCCTACAATTCCTACATTTCCTAAACTGCAGGTGTGTAGAGAACTGGAGTTTCATGTAGACTCACCAGGCGTTTTGCTTCTAAGTTTAGTCATATTTTGAACTTTTTTAAACCCCATACCCATATCATCAGTGTTTAATAGCAAAGTAAAAGGCAAAGCACTGTTTCCATTCAAAAGGTGACTGCCGATTTCTGCAGTCCTGGTGCACTGAAACTGATTTAACAAAGGAACAGCTGATTCTGGAGACAAATATTTTGAAATCTCACCTGCAGAACAAAGTGTTCAGCACCAGGGACTTAGATTCTGACTCTCTGAAGAGAAGAACCATAAGTGGAAAAGCAGCTTGTGACAAAAGGCGCTGAGGCGCTGGGGTGTTACAAAGACTCTTGCCTGTTTGAAGGGGTTATTGGTTCCACTGGCATTTTGGCAGCCAGCGACTGAACACAACAGGCAGCTCTTGTAGTGAAACCTTGCTGAGGTAGTGCTTTGTAAGCCTTTTGATGTCAAACAAATCCCTGCCAAAGTGCCTTGGTATGGACTAGAAATTTGATGCCTCTGTGTTGCTGTAGCAAGTGGCAGTTTTTTCCTACCAAAAGCAGGCAAAGAAGATGGTCACTCTCAGATATCACTGGACTTCTCTTAATGTCCTAAAATGCACTGCTGGAATCAGTGTTTTGGTGTGAGTGCTTTTTCCCTGAAAAACAGTACTATAAGCAGGGTGTAGGGCTGGGCTGCAGGCTCCTGGTGTGCTGCTGAGCTGCTTGCACTTAGGAGAATTGCTTAACTGTATGAGCGAGCTAAGTGAGGTATAAAATGGTTTGGGTTTGGCTGTGTTACTACAGCCCAGCTGCATTGCAGACATGTTAGGAAAATATGCTGCAAGCATTGAGTGTAGCTCAGAATTAAAGCAGTCAGAGGAACAAAAATCCTGTCATGGGCAGAGCAAAACAGAGGTCCCAGGGAAGTGGAAGAGAACAATGAAGGCAATGAAGGCAATGCAGAGTGATCAGGTTCCTGCTTCTCTAGCTCGTGTGCAGGGTACTGAGAGCTACTGTTTAATCAATATGTCCCAATAGGGGAGGGACGCCCTAGCTCAGGGCTCCTCAGCTCATGACTGGGTGCCCCCCTGCCCTTCTCTGCAATGGGCGTTAGGGGCTGCAGGAAGCGCCAGGCAGATGTCACACACCAGGTGTGTGAGACTCCTCACTTCCTACCAGTAGGTCCTCCTCTAAATTCTGATTGATTTTGGAATGGTTTCTCTTTGGAAGTGGGTCAGTCCTGACAGAGCCCTGGCCAAGCCCTGTTAGCTCTGACTCTATGGAGCTAATCCACAGTCATAGGGGAAGGGGAGGAGAGCACCCACCTTTGCTCCACATATAAAGGTGGTTTTTGCTTATGCAACCAGTTACAAAATGTACCTGGGGGCTTACCATGACTACAAGGGTGGGATTGGGAAGTCGTGAACTTGAGCTTTGGGGCGGAAATTAAACTGGGGTGGGGGGGAAGTTTATTGTAGGGCTGATGTACCCCACAGGCACTGGTGGGTCAGGAAACCCTCCACTGAGAGCAGCCACACAAGGAGATCCTTTGCTCTCATCCTTCCTTACTCAGAGGTCAACAGGGCAGGACCTTTAAGGGAGCTTTTTCACCTTTTGCCACACATAGTCTTCACCTTTTAAGTGGTCTACTGTCTAGAGACCGTTTATAAAATAAGCAAACAGAGCATGATTAAATCTTGCAGCACAGATAAAGTCTTTATAAGTCCTGTTCCCAGACCATGTCAGAACCTCGTAAAAGCCTAGCCTTGCCATTTTGATTATGATTTATGGATGGTTTTGTCCCTGTGATGCTACAATCACTCTAATCCAGTAGGTCTAAGAGCATTCCTGATGTCTCAGGTCTGGGTGCTGGCCTTCTCCCAGTTCCATACTGAGGGGATGTTGGGATTTGCACCAGTTCCCTTTCCCCTTGCTTTAATGTATCAGGAAGCCCTACAGGTAACAGTGTAGGGCATAATTTCTACTGCAGGGAATGGTACTCACTGCTCAGCCTTGCAGCAGACCTGAGGACCTTCCTAGGTGTATGTGCTGACCCTAGCAACAAACATGATAGGAACACGCTCTGACCCTTGAGTAGTTTCCCAGGCTAGGCCATCTCCCACTGTGTTCGGTGAAACGTGCGGGAAATGGCAGCATAAGTGGTCTGACATGGGGAGCAAGAAAATGTGTGAGGGAGAGTAACAGTAAAAGTGGAAGAGCTGGGGTGGTTGCAAGTAGTGCTTTGTTTTCCTGTGTCTCTGTGCTATTGTTTTAAAAAAAATTGTCATTCAAAGAAAATCTGCTATCAAAGATCCAGCTATTCAGCAGCTTGTACTACGAGCACAGGCAGTGACTCTCCTTGGCAGAGGTGTCTTGTAGGTTACCTCACCTGCAAAGCCAAGGTCTCTAAGGGTGCAATAGTTTTGACCTGTTCCCCCGCTGGAGTAATGAACTGAGAATGGGTTTGAACCTGTTACAATCACTTGTTAAAATTTACTAGCAAAGCAACAATGTAAAAAACTAGGATTTGCAACATTTTCTCCTTCCAAAGGGCAGTGCCTTAAAAATCCTTTCTACTGCACATCAACTCCTCCTATGTATTTACTACCATTCCTCTATTTTAGCCACACACATAAACATCCACGATTTTATTCAACTGCTTCAGGGACATTTCAGAAAATGTCTCATCTACATCAGCAAGATTGTATACTAATTTTCAGTCAGTGACACCAGTCTCTTTTCCCTCAAGAGATTTTATGATAGCTGGAAAGCTTCTGGAGCTTTTGAATCTTTAATTCAGGGTCCTCCTGAGAGCAAGGAGCGCTAAGAGATTTGCATCACAGTGAGATTGGACATGTATCACAGATGCAGAGCTAGAAGGCCATCAGATTAAGTAGAAGGAACTAAATGCATAAATTGGTCTGGAAAGCCTTTAGTACTGGGGGTGAGTAATGAGACTACAGGTTCACAGTTTGACTTTAAGATGTGTGACTGAATTTGCAACACCGCCTATTAATGCAGCACTTCAGCTGGATAGAAGCAGTTTCCATCTTGTATAAACGAGCTTAAACAGTTGTTTCCTCTTTTGGGTTATACCTAGATAACGCTTTCTAAGCACCTTGTTTTAATAGGATCTTGTCTACAGATTAGCCACCCTAAAATGTTTGTGCTCCCTCATCAGAAGAGTGTATGCTCCTAACAGCTAGCCTGCAGGCTTTTAAGGATTCCTCTTCCAGCCAGACTGACAGGAAAGACCTGCCACAACATGCAGCCAGGCAAGCCCTGGCCATGACAAGGAGCAGCCCTTCTTACAGCAACTTGAAATGTGGAGAGAAGAACAGTGAAGGGATGAGCCAAGCAATACATGAGAGGATCATACAGACGACGTGGAGTGGTACGACTACAGCACCATTGGAATGTGTGTATAGAGCAGAATAATATAGGATACAGTAACTTTACTCCAGCTTTGTAGCCTATTCTTGTACTGTCACTTTCTCGTGAGCCTTCCTTCCACTGAATTTTTATGGCTTATGGGAAAGTTTGGAGAAATACATTTTTTCCTTTCAAACTAGTAAGACTGGCTGTCCCACTGACATAGTTCTTGCTTTTTCTCTCTCATTGCTTTTTCTTCTGTCAGTAGGCACTATAGTGTAATTTGAAAAATTCCCTTGAGAGAATGCAGTCCTTGAGTCTGATGGCAAGGCAGCAGAGAGACTGATGGTTCTACAAAACTGAATGTGTTGACTGCCAGCTATTTTCCTTTGCTATTTTCCTTTGCCTCACATCCAAGTGAATTCAGAAACCTGTTTGCCTGGTTACTTCATCAGGAAGCCCATATCACTACCTCTGAGTGCTGCAGCACAAACCTGAGGTAGAAATGCTGCAGCAACAGAAATGTTGTTTGTTTGATTGAGACATAATTTTTTGGACTCCAGTCTGTAAGACAACTTGGTATATTCAACTACCTCTGTCTCCCATGAAAAGCAGGTTTGAGTGCACGTCCAAAACTCAAGCAAAGTCTATCAGTGATCCAAGCATATTTTTAAAGTAAAAAACATTGAGTAATACCTTTTACCATGGTAACTGTGTACACGGACGTAGCTTTTTCATGATTTGTAAGAACTGCTAACTGAACATTTTATGAAATGCTGCTAGTGCTTGCTCAAGTATTTTGGTCCCTTGAGTTCTAGATTCTCTAATACCTCAATTGTGGAACCCTGAGATCTTCCTGACTTCCAGCTCCAGCTTCTTAGCTTCCAGTTCCAGCTGTGCCCACCTTTCTATCATGGTGGAATGCAGCTGCATGCCAGGCCCTCTCCCTTCTCCTCTTGAAAGCAGTGGAAAGTGGCATGGAAAGCGGCTGAGATGAAGCTGTGGTGTGTTCCCATCCACTTCCATTAACACCAGAAGTCACCAGCATTCATATCCTAGATGGTCCAGACAAAGGTGAAGCCCATGTGATTGTTGTATGAACATTTGGTCCTTGGACACGACGTGCAGAGGGATGAATATGGATGTTGGAATGTAGCCAACAGGATGGGGCTGAGCTCAACAAGAGAAAGGGCACAGGTTTTGCAAAGTTGAGGTATCTGTATGGTCACATGTGACTTGCTCTTTGTTACAGTCCACTGGCCTTGCTTCTTCATCCTGAATGTCATGCTGTATTGTAAGATTCCCATTTGCAGGGAGCTAGTAGATATCTGCAAGATGAAACCCCAGCACAGCTGACAAGACAGTTCATGGTATGAATTATCACTGCAAATCTGGCATGGAGAAAATGTTTGAACAGCACTTCACAAAATCTCTAACTTTCAGATGTTCTTCTGTCCTGCTCCAAACCTTGTAATGCCAAGCTTTCAATCACCCCACCAAGCAGCCACTCTGGCCAGCTGCAACACAGCCCACTTGCTATTTTGAACACTTTAAATTGAAGCACTATAAAAATAGTGACTATCTTGAGATCAGCCATGCATGTCTCATGTGGCCTGGGTGGGTGGCTGTGGCAGATGCTACAGCTGCACTGGGAGGCCTAAGCCTGACTCTCCCTTCTGGACTGGAGGCACAAATCCTTCCCTGATGCAAGCCACTGGGACAACCCAGTTGCAGGTGCAAGTTGTGTTTTCCTACTGTATAAAAAGGGTGCTCTGTAGATGGCCTGAGCGTGAGAGCAACTGCTGGGTGACAGGTGAGGTATCCCTTGAGGTCAAGCTCTGTTCCTCAGAGGTGATGGGGGAGCAGGATGTGTTGAGGCAGCAGGTAAAATGCAGGAAATAAGAGCAATATCCTTGCAAGAACATTGTGCAATTGGCTGTCCTTCTGCTGAAAAATGTATTTAATTAACTCAGAGAAAAGAAGTCTGTAAGAGGAAATGGTGTTCCCAGAGAGATGCTGTTTTGTCCCTGGAATTATGCAAAGTGAAAAAATATATAGCAGCAAGATCACTCTCTGTGACTTGCCTAGAGACTAGCAAAAGTAATTCCATTTCACACAGAGACAAATTATTTGAAGTCTGCTTCATAGTTCAAAACCAGACAAAGTGGCAGAGATACTGGAAAAACCTCTCAGAAATCAAGCACAGCATACTACACAGCTGAAAGTTTATCACTGCAGTTAATGAGGTGTGACTGCTTTGCTTCAAAGACACACCATGCTTTAGACATTTGAAAAATCCATTTTAGCTCTCGGATAAATGAAAAGTAAGGTATTTTCTCCACACCCTTTCCCTATTTTAAGCAACAGGCTTGTCCCTCTCAGTATATCAAATGTGGCAGGCAATGGGTTTCAACGGCAATGGCTAGAGGAGGAAAATGAGGCAAGGTCACTGAAGAGGTTCAGTGAGGCTGTGGTGGGCCATCAGCTCTGCCTGTGGCACAGTTCACTCGCCACATTTTGCAGCACAAACATCTCTTGTGCTGCCTCGCTGCTCTGTACAACAGCAATTGAAATTGAGTGGCTACAGGCCCTGGGAAGTACAAGCTACCTTGAAAAAGAAAAGTCAAATGTCCAAACTAATAAGGGAGAGGAGCTCTCCTTCCTGTCCTCTGTGATAAGATTAAGGACAGACAGCAGATCACAGGAAGGGGTGGAGCAGTGTGCACCTAAGGGGGTCATTATCTGCAAGGGAGGCAGAGATAGTGTTTTCTCTTGACTGAAATACTAAATAGAGAAGAAGCAGAGAGACTATTTTTACAAAGCGCTTTTCCACAGCAGAGCTATAATTTTCAGTGTCTTGTTGTGGTGCAGGAGTCTGGTGACCTTCACAGTATTCATTAAGCATTCAAATTCTTTCCTAGTTTTTAGGAAAGGATGAAACAATCAGATGCCCGTGTGCTATGTGCAGCATAAAAATCTAGATAAAACACTGCTGTCACACTCAAATAATTTTATTAATCTGAAACTGTGTTTCCTTGAATACAGTCTCATTAAATACTCACCTCCTCTTTGAGACAAATCTGGTGGGAGAGGAGATGCTGTAGAGTGGATTAAGCTCTAATCCCAGTTTTTCTCTCTCACTTGGCATCCCTGGGAAGGACAGCATTCCTGTCCTTCTTATTTCTCGTTTGTAAAATGGAGATGATAACTGCTCATCTCCCAGGGCCATTATGAAGATTAATGTGTTTACAAAAGCATTTAAAATGCTAAGGACTTTTGGTTCCAGTCCTGTGAGATTGGAAATGCCAGCACTGAGGTGCTGGAAGCCTTACTCTTATTAACTCTAGTGGAAACTCAGGCTGCCCAGCACTTTACAAGAACAAGGAGAAACATGTAGTTGCAAAAGTCAAGAAAACCCATCCTGTTTTATTTCGTAAAATGAGATGTGCATTATGCTGGTATTGGATCTGAAAGGGCAGATAACATTAAAAAGCCCCATCATTCAATTTCCAGTGCCAAGAGAATTATTGAGGGCTTTGCTGTTGTAATTTCTTTAAAGACTGATCCTTGCACCTTCAGCTGCAACATGATTTTTGGCATCAATATAGAATACAGTATCAGCCCAGAATTTGCTGTACTTCATTCAAGCTTTTAAACTCCATGACTCTTACCTAAACACACAAAAAGCACTTGTTTCACTGTTACTGACACAGACAATTTTAGCCACTTTTCTTGCAAAATGCATGATAAATGACACCAGAACTGAGATTGAGGTTAAAAACCCCCAGTCTTAGCACTTACGGGGAATATCCAGCACTGGTGCTTTGCCACACACTCCTTCAGCCAGCCTGTAGAATCAGTCAGAGGAACAGTTAATTGGACATGTATGCAGTAAGGTCCCCATGTCAGCAGCTTTTGCATCCTTCAGACTTCTTTTCACCGATTCTGTTTTTCACAGTGAGACAAATTTAATAAATTTGAGAAAGGCCCAGAAACAGGAAGATGAGTGAACCAAAGGAACTGGTGAACCAGGGATAATGGTCTCCCTGAAGGCAGTACCTAACTCCTTGGGTAAGGGGAGGGACATATGTGTCAAGACTGAGAAGCAAAACAGGCTGGTGTGGTTTACTGAGAAACAGAATAATTTCACATGCGAGCAAGACTGGATGCCAACCTGCAGGAAAAGAAGTCTGTTTGTGCAAGGCAGCTATGTGCAGACAGATGACACATGCTGATGCGTCCCAGTAAAAGTCAGCTGAAGAATATGGTTATGACTGGTAAGATTTTGTGACAAAGTTGAGATCTAATTTTACATCTGATGCCCAAGACTTCCAAAATGTGTGTATGGGGCATCTGCTGGGGTTTTTAATACATCAAATGGGAAGCAAAAACTAAAGCTGTACACTCACTGATAATATTAATGAAGCCCTTAAAATGTTAAGTTGTCCTCATGTATTTGACAGACCCTGGAAATGATGGATCAGGAGATGGATTGACGATAATACCCACTTTTACGGCAACACACCTTCCTGCTACGGGTCCTTCAACTGTGGATGACTGTGAGCCAGTACTTGGAACTGCAAGCGCTACTGAAAGCAGCTTTGAAACACAGAGTTCTCCAAGTACTGAACTGAATGCTCTGAATGATGAGGACAGCCTAGAAGCAGAACAGTCTATCTTGATATATATTGTCCCCGTGGCACTGCTGATCCTGCTGATTTTGTTTATCACATTTTTTGTAATGCATCATAAAAGGAAAAAGTCCAAGCAAGGTAAATTTGTCTAATTTGTCTTCTTGTGCATCAAAAAAGTCTGTTTCTAGGATGTGTTCAACATTAACATAACATAACATAACATAACATAACATAACATAGCATTATTTTGAGGCATGGGATATCACATTTAGGATGCCCTACTCTGATTTTGGTTGCACATTTTACAAGTAAGGGAGGGATCCTCCCCAGCCAGCAGTACCTGGTCACACACCTCTCCTTGGGCAGTAGCTACTTCTGCTTCTTGGCACCTCCTGCTCATGCTGCCCCACCCATGGAAGCCCTGGCACCAATCTCTGGCTTCTGGAAATGCTGAGAATGCTCAGGGATGTAACTGTGGCTGCAAATGCTTGTTCTGTCTTTATGCTCAACAACTTTAGACAAGGTGAAATTAATGTTTCTACTGCCCGTAGTGCCCACAAGGTAAAGCTGCTTGGAGCTTAAATAAAATAAGAACAAGAAAAATCCTTTTTAGGAACAATCATAAGAAATCCTGATTCCATCGAGTGGAGGCTGCTATGAAGACATCACAGCAAATGAGCTAGGTCAGACTGCCTGGGTGCTGTGGTAGGGTGAGCAATGCTTCAGGAAGGTGCTGTGATCTGTTAACAAAGGAATTGGTAACTTGGAATGTCAAGCCACAGAAGAATAAACTGAGGTGTCATACTAAAACCACATAGTTGGTAAGTGAAATTCTGAGATGGTCGTATCAGTGTCTCTACATGGTCAGAGTGCAGCTATCAGCTCATCAGCCTGCAGACAGTGCAACATATTTAATACAGATTTTAGGTCAAGTTTTCAGGGCATTTTTAGGTTGCATTTGCCTGATCACTGAGTTTCCCTCTAACAAACTAGGAATTTGCAGCCAGGCATCCAGTTGTCTGCCTGATTCTGGATGACTGAAATGTAGGTACACTCTTCAGAGGATTAGGAAATGTGGTGCCTTTCAGGAACACAATCCTAGGTTCTCATGCCCTGCGCCAGCCTGGGATTTTGAGCATCATCAAGGTTGGGGCAGATGGCTCTGTGGCTCTGGGGTGGCTCTGCGGCTCTGGGGAGGCTCTGCAGTCTGGGAATGTGCAGGAACAACTGGGAGGTATCACCCACTGGCAACAATGAATTAAAAATAAGGTTATTTAAGACAGGTTTTTCAGTCACTTGATTGCTGGAGGTGAAAGTATTTATTAGAATTATGTCTGTGACACCATTTTTCCCTCCATCTTTACTTTTTCTTGGGGTCATAAAGAGGTTGGATCCCTTTGGACATCTGGTTAGTTCAGCTTCATTTGCCTAACTGAGATCGAATCTGCCATGCAGTTCAGCTCCCTCCCACCCTCCCCCTGCACCCCACACCCCCACGGCTCTTCTCCCCATGAGCAGCTCCCAGAGTCTCCAGACAGAGCTGAATTGCCCGAGTGTAAGCTGTAGCAGAATGTTCCAATGCTTCCAGTAAACAATTTTTTTGCAGAAGTGGTTCCTTTTCAGGATACCATTTCCGTCAGCACATCTGTTTTGCTGAAGGAAGTGTGCATCTGCCTTGTCCTGCCCACTGCAACACCAACACTAGGCTTCTTCCCAGCATGGCTGAACTAATAATGAAATGCTTTTAGATTCAAAATAATGGGTTCCTCTGAAAATTGAGAACAGGGCAAGATGTTTTGTCTTTCATTTGCAATTTAGTTTTCATGTCTTTTGAAAATGCAACCCGTTTTATTTGACCCTATTCAAGGCGTGCATGCAGTCAGGACCCTGTAAATACAATGGGTAAATATAATGCAGAGCTATTAACACCAACTTTCTTCTTTTGCAGATGAGCTGGGAAGTGAAAATGTAAAAAGGTAAATTTTATGAATATAATTCTTTTTTTAAAAAAAGTTCTTTTGCTCTAAACTTTATCTCACTGCCTCTTTTAATTTAGCTGTGCACTAAACACTGTTACTTTTTGCCATCAATTGAACCAGCAATTTCAATAGGTGGATAAAATGTGACTTCAGTATGTGGCTGAACTGTAAGACTAGAGCAGAGCAAGAGTTAGTAGTGACTGAGGCAAGGGCTGTCCCACAGACACCCACAGCCCACTGAGCTTAGGCACCTCCTGCTTCATCAACCACAAGAGGTACAAGGTGCCCCATGAGCAAAGGGAATCTGTTCCCAGGCTCATCACAGGCTTTCACTATTCACAATAAGCTCTGTGTCTTACTCCTCTATTTTTCAAGTTTGTTTTTTAATCTTCTTACTCAGAGGTGAGGCAGAAAGGCTTGCCTGGCTGCCATAGGAGCAATGCCTTAGATGCTTGGAAAATAAGACAGAAGCTGTGTGGCTTTTATCAGAGTAATAACTTTTATTGTTACCTTTTATTGACCTCCATCTTGCTAATCCATGCTGAAAGCTCATTAATTGGCTCTGTGAGATAAAAATAAAGGGTTTTTTTGCTAAAAAATTATTTTCTATCATGTGACTGCAGGAATGATAAGCAAAAGGAAGCTAAGCAGAGGCATTTAAGTAAATGCAGCTCTCATGACCTTTCCTTTTGAAGTCACTGCAAATGTCAGTCACAGCTATTATGAAACTTTAGGCCTTCAGCTTTTAACACTGGAGCAATGGTACTTCTGTCATGTGTTCCAGGAGAGCAGGGACAAACTATCTTATTTTTTTTTTTTTTAGTTTTCTATTTACAGCAGGGGCAGTTTTCAAGAAGCTGCAGTAATCCTGTGTTCTGGCATGTCTCTGGCTGCACTGAGTCCCCCTGAGTGTTACGTCTCAGCCGGCCCTACCTCTGCCCAGGACTGGCACCTCAGTGCTGCACCCTTGCGTCTGTTCACGGTCCCTTGGTTCACACTCATTGGGCTGACATCTCCTTAGATTACTGGGCTAGGATGGCTTTCCAGAGTTAATACATGTGTCTGGAATTATAGGAGAGTCATACAAAATCACTGCATTATAAGTTGTTTGAATTAAGCATTTTGTGTAATGCTTTTTGTCCCTGTTTCTTCATTCAAGCCCTATTTTTGAAGAAGACACACCCTCTGTTATGGAGATAGAAATGGAAGAACTTGATAAATGGATGAACAGCATGAACAGAAATGGTACACGGTAACCCCTCTACTTCATCCTCCTTCTCTTGTCTGCTGACATAGATCCCATGCATAGGAAATCAATGTTTTGTATGCTTGTCCTACAACATTTTTAGTTGTGCTCGTGACTCCCTCCTACTAAAATAACTGAACAAATGTCAGGGGTAGATTTTTTCAGAGGAGCATTTTAGTTTGTGTGGGAGTTTACTTTTAATATGTGATAAGATCTCATAAATGTTTTCAGTTTCTGGTAGATATTTCTATTAAACACATTTATTGCTCTGAATGTTATTTATATTTTTAAATACACATTTTAATTCTAAATGCCAGTTTGTTTGAAGCATCTAGTCCTTTCAGTCTCCAGAATTTCTACAGTTTTGTGCTCCATATTGAGGTATTGTAGAAGAAATATGCATTTGTGCACAAATGCAACTGTGTCCAGTTCTGGGCCCCTCAGTTTAGGAAGGACGTGGAAACGCTTGAGCATGTCCAGGAGGCAACAAGGCTGGTGAGGGGCTTGGAACACAAGCCCAATGAAGAATGACTGAGGGAGCTGAGGTTGTTTAGCCTGGAGAAAAGGAGACTCAGGCTGACCTTATCACTCTCTACAACTTCCTGAAAGGTGGTTGTAGTCAGGTGGTCTCTTTCTCCAAGCAGCAACTGACAGAACCAGAGGACACAGTCTTAAACTGTGCTGAGGGAAATACAGGTTGGATATTAGGGAAATGTTTTCTATGAAAAGAGTGATAAAGTACTGGAATGGTTTACCTGGAGAGGTGGTGGAGTCACCATCCCTGGACGTGTTTAAAAAAAGACTGGATGTGGCACTCAGTTTATTTGAGGTATTGCGGCATGGATTGGACTCAGTGATCTTGAAGGTCTCTTCCAACTTAGTGATTCTGTGATTCTGTGATTTGTTTGTAATTCAGACCACCATTTATTTAAAATTGCTGCCAGGAACCTATGAATACCACCTCCCCCTCCCTTGCAAAGCTATCAGCCCCATGAACAATTAGAACATGCAGTAACTACTAGCAACAGCATCTTCAGCTGCCTTCTGAATTACTTATAAGTACCTTGCATTTTCCCCCCCATTTTTCTCACAGGTGAATTTCAAGTCAAAATCTCTAAGGGGTGTGCATTGTCCTTCCAAAGTCTCCTCAAAAAATGCAGGTCTTTGGTAAGCCATGAGTTAACCAAGGCCTGATTTTGAGCCATGAACAGCTTCTCACTGGCTAGGAAATGCTGAGACACTGATATTTTTTTTATTCCTGGTCCCTTGCCTTCTATCCAAATGGATAGTAGGTCATTTGTCTGACCTACTAGGCATACTTTGTTTTTCAGGAGCATTTATCTTTGGGGCATTTGCATTAGCACGGTTCTCCACATGACGGGGTTTTGACCTTCGTGGTCTGTAAGCTCTTGTAGAAAACGTGTGCTAAGTGGCAGTAGTGAAAGAGAGGCGTTAAGTGTACTACATGGGAAAAAAAGTGGTGTAAAATACATTTTAAAATTTTGTGGAGAGAAGGAAGAAAATATTTTACATACTTTCATGTATGTATGTGTGTGTGTGTGTGTGTGTGTGTGTGTGTGTGTGTGTGTGTGTTTAAGTGCTCCCTAAACTCCAGCTCCGAATTTCCAGCTGGACTATAAAGCATAGGTGCAACTGTCAGCAGTGGAAGATTAACAAACAACTCTCCCCGTGGCAGTGTGTGAGAGACAGTCTGCAAAAGTAGCTCATTTGTATAGGTGTACATAAAGAACTGGAATATATATCATAAATAAATTGTGGCAAGACCTACCAAAGGGAAGGAGGTATAAGATTTATGTTATGGGGACCATGCAGATAAAAAGGTGCAGAAGTGCATCTGCATATCTATATTCTAGAGTGACTGCATGATGAAAGTTGATGCATTTTTGAAATAAATGTAGAACAAGTGCCAAGAGTACCTATAGTCTTGTTTCTTACCCTTTTCCAGGTGACTATGAATGTTTGCCTACTGTAAGAGAAGAAGAAAAAGAATCAATCACCAATCCAAGGTACTTTAATTCATTGTATTATTTGAAGAAATATGGTCAATGTTGTTCTAAAATAATCTTATTTTTTGTATGTAATTATAGAATTATTCTTTGGTCCATATAAGTTTTAAAATTTTTACATATAGAAACTTTGACTTCAATTTACACTAAAGGCTTGACACTTTTATTTCTAAACAGGTTTCTTCCTGTAAAACTGCACTACTAAATAATCTTACAGTTGTAAAGTGGTGCAAGACAGACAACCAGATGGCACAGATGGAGTTTCACTCACTGATCAGACTTTAATCACAGTTTCCCAAGGTGTTAACACAAGCATTCAGCATAGCTTCCTTGGCACCCTTCACCTAAGGTACCCAGTTCTCCTCTGCTGCCTGGTGCCTATAGGTTCTTGGGAACCACTGCCAGATGTTTTGGCTGGAGCTGTGACCTGACAGACTTCAGCTGGAGCTGTGACCAGGACTTACCGGTGCCCCCTTGCAGCACTCCCCCAGAGCTGGCACTAGTTGATAGTCCAAGCAGAGATCCCAGTGGGATGCAAAACCACAATCCCAACAGCTTGTAAACTTAAAATCTTTCTGGTTGGTTTCCTCAGGATTTTGGCCAGAACTCCTAAATCCCTCACAATTTTTCCTAATTAAAAATTCTGGTTCTTGCTTCCAGCTGGAAACAAGAGGCTGTACATTGCCCTTGCCTGCACTCTTGTGTTGCAGTTGCATTTTGAGGAGTGGGCAAAGCAGCTTCATAGGATGGTAATCAACAAGCCACCTTTTGTGCCAAGAAATCCCTGGTGCAGTGGAAGCAGTGATGCAATCAGGCAAGGCCAGGAGCAGGGAGAGGACCTAGGTCTTCTACTTTCCATGGCCTCAGATAATTCCACTGAACATATTTCTCTGGCAGAATTGCACCTCCCGTTGTAGACTGTCATAATATTCCAATCCTCTTTACCGAATTTCCTTGCTCAGGAGTGAAATAGGGATGTTAAATCACCACTGCTGCAGAGTTTGCAGCTCAGTTGCTCCAAAGCTGCAGTTTCAGAGGAATCTTTGGATAGGGCTTGTCCACTACAGCCACTTCTATATAGAAGGTTTCTTTTTACACCTATTGCAAGAGAAATCATTGTTGTTTTAGTTCAGTTTTGGTTGGGGAAAAAAAAGAAAGCTTTGATCCTAGGTTCAGGTGCAGGCAAGCACATTAATTTTACCCTTAGCAACTGGAAAAGATCCTGGATTTGTTAGTCATCTGGGTCTTCCCTTCCTGCTGCTAAATGATAACTCAGAGGGAGGAAAATTGTTAAGGAGAGGCAGCTGCAGCTGCACAGCTGTTCTCTAAAAGCAGACTTAAAAAGCTGAGCATACCACTGAGTACAGCAGAGGACAGGACAAAGGATGCTTCAGCCATAAGCTAACACTGGCAGAAGTCATACTGTAAAAGGCTTTTTAGGCACAACACCACCCTTAGCATCAAGTTTACTTTCCAAATCTTTAACAATTCATTTTAAGGAAAAAAATTATCATAGCTTACCAGCTTGAGCTGACGTTTTATCATGCTTGCTAAAGGAGTGGTTTTGTACTGGATTTGCATTCACCTCATCATAAGAAGGGGGTTTTGCTCCTGGCTATTATAAAGCATCTTTGGGCTACACCCTACCTCAAGCTGCCCACCTGTAAAACAGAGTTATTTTAGAAGACTACAGTGAGGTTTAAACTTTGATACAAAAAAGCAACCCTGTTCATGTAAGTATGTTTCAGTCAGAGCGAAGGCACACACATTATTTAAGCAAATTTTCTTGTGAATGGTATCTTAGAATCAGACTAGATTAGATAAATTTATGCCCCTAAATTGTAGAAAGGCAAGCAAATGCAAATAAAAAAGAGATTTATCTCTAAAACATTCAGAGCTGCTCAGACGAGGGATATTAGTTGCATACAAAGTGCAAGATTCAGTTTAAGATTCTGAAAGACTGCTTTGTTTGGGAAAAATTCTTCTAAAATTAGGGTAATTTTTTTTAGATTTTATTGATATTTCAGTATGGGAAACATCTTGAGGCTACACTGAACAGATGTTGTGTTTTCTTGCTTCACAAAAATGCTGAGGGGGAGTTCATTAAGACCCAAATATCTTGAACTATGAACGATATTTATATAATTTTGAAAACATATGAGACAAAACATTTCAATAATGACACTTTGACATTTTCAGAATTAAGGTTGTTCCAAAACCACTCTTCAGAGTTAGCGAATTTTTAATAAAAAAATTTTGAAAGTTTGAAGAACAGAACTATGTGGCAGTAACATATTTTTATGTTGAGTGTTTCCCTTACCCCAAGGCAACTTCTTCAAATTTTATTTCACATGCAATTTTGAAATATGCTTCATTTCAATGTGAAAAGATATTTGAAGTGCTGGGATTTCTGGGTAAAGAAACAAAAAATTGCTTCCTGTTTATTTGCAGCTGAACCTTATCAGTCCAAGATCTGCTGCTTTTCCCAACCAAATTCTTAAATGAATAAATAATGTCAGAAAGAGAATTACATACAGATAAATAGATGTTTTCAGCAACTCTTTTGAGCAGGGAAAGTGAAAGACTAAGAAGTAAAATGAAACAAAGCTATTGTTATGGCAAAATTTGTACTCATGCGCATCAAAGCTGCACATTTGTGCACAGGAGGCAAGATATGACAGCCTGGGCTCCCTGATAGGTGGAGATCACCTGCCCAGGCCTTGTAGGCTCAGTTACAAACATATGTGTGTGTGTGTGTGTGTGTGTGTGTGTGTGTGTGTGTGTATATTCAAAATTTAGATACACTTTTCAAAACATATATATTTGAATTAAAACCTTATCTTTGAAACCTACTGCTAGAATCTTGATTGTGCCTGAGCACAGAATTGCAAAACCCTCCAGCTGCGCTGGGCAAGGGCTCCCATCCTGTGCATGCAGGAGGGAGCAGGCAGTGTGTGTGGGGACAGCAGGCAAGGGCTGATGATCTGTGGAGCACAAGTGGGTAGAGACTAACCTCTGCTCCAGGGACCTTTAGTGTCCCAGAAAAATAAGTGCAGCCTGTCCCATTCACAACATGGGTCATTGTAGGAGGTGGAGTACAAGCAATCTCCTTATGCTTTATCGCCTGAGAGGTTGGGTTTGTCTTGGGTGCTGCTGGGCACCCTCCTAGTCTTTCTGTCTGAAAAAAGATAACTCCTTCTTATGGAGAAATGTTTTGGATGGATGGTAAGTCAGTACAGAAAGAAGTACTGCATTCCCAGAATGTGCCTCAATTTGGCAAGAGACTTAAGAAAACATGTAAAATATTAAGATTATGAGCGGCCCTTTCAGCTTCAGAGGTGGTTTAAAACCCTGCTGTTATCCCTGTTAATCAGCCAATATAAGATGTCACATTTTTTAATATTTGCATGAGCCAAACATTATTAAGAGAGAGCTAGGGAGCAAGCCACTTGGGGAGAAACCTGCAGGACAAAGAGAAAATGCACCTGTTATGAGGTCAGATGTAAACCAAAATTTCCAAAGTTATCCTCAGCTGTGGAAAGAGAGCCGGGAGCAGGAGAAAGGCTCTGCTGGGCAGCCATGAACCATCAGACAGGAATTAGAGCAGCCCTCACTGCCGGCATCATTTCATCCATTGCATGAGTGACAGATTTATTTTCTGGTAACACCTTGTCATGAACTCTGGAGATACTCTTGCATGTCATTTCCTGCTGGGACAACAAACCCAACAGCGTGATTCTGGTGTTGTTTTCTTTTCCACATGTACACAGTGATGGTGAATCATGAAGTCCTCAGGACAGCAAAGAACTGGCTAAAGGGATGCAGCACACAAGCTCATCATCCCCCAGATATTGGAAGAGTTGCATTTAAATATAATTCATCTCAAAGAACAGAGAAGCAAATGGTTTTGTTGTGTCCTGATTCATATGGTCTTCAGAAAGGAAACATCACCAAGGGAAAAGAAGAAAAGATAAAGGAGGGGAAAAAGAAGAAAAGAAAGAGAGAAAAGCACTGTAGCAAGATTAAAGACTGCTTTAAATTCTTTTTGCAATGAGATTGGCCATAAATCAAGAGAAACCTCTTTTTAGCCCTTTCTAAAAGTTCTCAAAGCAGCCCATGTCTCCGTCTAGTTCTGCAGTTGTGTATTGTGCAACACTTAAAACCAATTCTGTTCCAGGTTTGGTGGCTTTCTTTGTTTTGGTTTGGTTTTGTGGGTGTTTGTTTCAGTGTCCATAATTCTGGACTGCCCTGATTTGGTGGATATGAAGCTCATGCCTACGCAATATTTTTTTCTCAATTTGCTTTTTCTAAACAGTGCACCGATTTGCACAGGACTGCTGTTGAGGAGGTACCAGGCTAGGACTGACAGACCAGCTCTGAGGACAGACAGCAGCTGAAAAGCCTCTCAAAGGAATAGCCAGAAGTAACTGCAGCACAGTGAGGGCACAGACTGTGTAGAGCGCTTTTTGATTTTCAGATAAAAGGCACTGTAGAAGTGAAAAGTATTATTTTGAGCCTGCCTTCCAGTTTGTTATCACCACAGATGAGTGCCCTGGGCTAGGTGTCCCCATGTAAATCTTGTCCCTGCCCAGGGCTGTTCTCTAACCACCTACTTCAGGCATATCCAACTTAAAAACATTTCTTCTTTTTTTTTTTTTTTTTTTTTTTTTTTTTAAAGTGTGAGATTGAAAAATTTAACAATTCAGTACCCACATTCAATACAGATTTAGATAAGTATGTGTTATGCATAATTACTTGGACAAGGTTTTCAGATGCAGGAGATTTTCTGCTGCTTCTGTTTTTAAATACTGAGCTTGCAATATCTGAAAGACGTGGACTTCTAAGTGTGCCTAGTCACCTTTAGTTACAATGAAAAAAATTAGACTCTTGTGATACCTCAAGGTGGGAATATGAATATTGTCACTGTGTTCATTGATTTTAGATAGCATGTCTCTTAGGGATGTAGCTTAAATATGTAACATATATAAAAGTGAATCCTTGTCTGGGCAAAGCTTCTCTTGCCTTATTTAAAATAGCAGATTCATATCCTACCATACCTTATATTCTACCTATCTGTGGCAGTGTATTTTTCAGTTTTTCTAAAAGATGCAATTTGAAACCTAGCCAGCCTGTGAGTAGGTAGTTACCTGGGTGAGAATCCCAGCTCATCTATTGGACCCTAAGTGCAGATGTATCACTGGTTGAGGTAACGAGTGACTGAAATAGTAACCAATTACCTGTGTGTGCCTGGGAAAACTCAACCACCCTATTTAAGGGTGCCCACAAACAATAAAGTTGCTTAAGTTTTGTTACATGGATCAGGAGTGCTGGAGTCTCTGTCTCAGACCCAGCACCCCCAACCGTGGCTGCCCAACCCATGAAACAACTGTAACACCTATCCTCATATTCTATTTAAATATGTAATGCCTTCCAACTCAATACATGTTTAATATGATTAGTTTTGTTTTGCCTGAAAATAATTCACTAATAAGTTACCATGCGTAGCTTGTTTAAAGAGAGAAAATAAATGCCCCAAGCCTCTGTGATGGCATCTAAATACCACTAACAGCTGACAAATACGGAGGATGGTTCAGCTTTGTGAATAATTAAAGACATGTCAAAATACAGCAGGAAAAGAATGTTTAGCTAACCATATTCATTCATTACTAAATTTGACTTGATTAGTAATTCCCTCAAAGAATAAAAGATTTCTTCATTATTCCAAAACAATTTATTGCAAATATTGGATTTGGCAAATGAGAGATGTAAATAAATTTCCCGTGTTTGGATGATTTTTAACTTTGAAAGAAGTATTTCACGTTCATCTTTCACAACTTTTTTTTTTTCAACATTTCCACTATTTCCTGACACTAAACCCATCATGTAGAGTATTGGTTAAAAGAACACAGTCACCAGGGGAAGAAAAAGTGAAAGACTGAAATATAGAATTTTTTTTTTTTAATTGGAGTAGATATTTTCCAGTAGCAGTTTTGTTAGCTACTTATTTCCAACAGACAAAGATATTTTGCTCAGGTTTCCTACAATTTTCAAAGCAGCAACCTGAAGATACCCAAAACAGGAGAGACTGGGGGGTCTTTTTAATAGTACGAGATAAAAGGCTGTATTTTAAGAGTATTACCGGCTATGTGGTTGGAGGGCAGTCAGTGGGACCCAGCAGTTTGCAACACCAGTGTCCAGCAGTGACACTCACCACACCATGCTCCAGTTCACACAGCTCCATGTTCAGCAGCTGCTGCCTTCTCCCTGGAGAGAGTTGAAGCACAGCTGGACGTGAAGACTAGAAGTCCTTGCCTTTCATATTTTATTTTTTTTTTACTTTTGAAAATTAACTAATTCCCAGTAATTATATGGCTTAACTCAGTTCTGGCACACTGATGATCCATCAACCTGTCCGGGTCACACATTGATAATAGTGCAATGCACTAACTCAGTTTGCTGTGGCATTAAAAAGAGCCTGTGTTGTTCATGTTGATGGTTTTGGGTTAATGTTAATTCTAGATGGTTCTTCCACCAAATAAAAAGCTATACAGTTCCAAACAAGTTTCTCAGAGATTAAATTTCACTTATACATTTTACTTTTCAAGTTTACCTTGAGATAATGTATTTTATGTAAACTTATGCCATTAAGCATTAATTTTTATTCCTGCATTCATAATTGGTCAACCTCACAGTAAAGCTTTAAAATCAATTTTGTCCAGAACTAATGTCTAGGTTAGAGGTTTATAATTATTCATGTCACTTACTACCTCTAAATTCTGGCATGCTAGAGAACTCATTTGCCTCTTCAGCAACTTTTCTCGGCAGTTAAAAATACAAAACAATGCTTTGGGCGCTTCCTTGGCCAATACATTTTCTCTATCTGCTGATTTTTAAAAGTGCAAACTTAATATATGCTGCGTTACTATTGAAAAATGTACCATTCCATCAAATCTCACCAGTCATCAGGTCCTGTCCTCCTTGTGTGAAACAGACTAAGGGTCAAGTAATCTGCATTTCAGTATAGTTATGGATATTTCTAATAGATATCCTCAGTACTAGACAAAAACAATTTTTAGTGTTTCTCTTTTTCCTGAACATTTATACATCATTGTTATTCTTCCCCTAGCTCTAAACTATAGAGGGGACCACTCATTCTTCTGATTCCTCGGCCCAGGTCCGCACTGCTCTGTTTCACCCTGCTGGTCTCTCTCTTTGATCATAACTTTCACACTGAGGTCTGCATTTGCCATGGCCACTGCCCAGCACCCACTCACTCGCTTACAGCCAAGCCTTTCTGTAGACACTAGGTTCAGGAGTGCAGCTTCACCTTGGGCACTGCTTTGGCCCCTCTCCTCCTTCACCCCATTTGGTATTTCCCTCTTTTGCTCGCTCGCATGCCCCTTGTTCTCCCGTTTGTTTTACACTTTCCATCAGTTCCTGGTAATTTCCTTTTGCATAGTTTTGCCTCAGTATTTTAATTCTGTGGATAGATTGAATTACAGGGGATTTAGGCCATTTCACACCTACATTAATACAGCCAATACATTATAATATTCCAGTTCATGAGTATTAACTGTACACCTTCTGTTGATGCATCTTCATTTTCCCTAAATTATTCACACAGTCAGGTCCTCTAACCCACAAAATAAAATGGAGAACAATCAGACAGCAGATAAGATAGCAGCAAATTCTAAATTTTATTTTATCACCATGCACTACAGAGTATTTAAGCCGCTGTGGTAATATTCCCATCATTAGCCTCATTCGAGCCAACCCGTCTCACCATCACCTTGCAACATCTACCAGTAACTGATAACTCAAGTCGCCACCCCTCAGTAGAAAATGAGAAAAAGTATGGAAACAGGAAGTGTCTCCAACTATGTATTGTTCTAAAATGTTTCGCAAATGTGATGATCCCTAAGGAACTGCCACCTCTTCTTCCATTTTTAAAAATAATTTCAGTAGTTTTCCAGCACTTCAAGACAATTTGACATCTCATTTACAACGTGCGGCCTTTTTGTTCTGCAGAAAAGCAGATCCAAAGGAGGGTTTGTTTGAGAAATACATAGGTAATAAGCAGGGCAATTAAGAACCAACACCTCTCCTCGATACGCTAAAAATCTTAACAAAATAGAAATAGTTCCTCCATAAAGTTACAAATATAAGGTTGATGATATTACCAGCAGCTAATTAATTCCATGAGTCCTGCACTTGTAAAGCACATAGCCCTAACATTAACCTCAGCAAAAAGGAAGGTTCTTTTAGTTTCTAGATAATCATAAGTTATAGATTTGCAGATAACTTGCTCTCAGATTAAGAAAAACTATTTTTTATAATGCTAGACTCATTGGTGGACTGTAAATTGAAATTTTATTGTCTTTCTGATGTAAGACTGCTGTATATTGAACTGTTTTATCAAATAGATGTTCAAAATAACTTTGTAATGTAAATATTTGAAAGATGCAATATTACTTAATTGTATATAAGAGTTTGAGATTTTAAACAAGTTGTTCTAATAAAGTTTTTAGTGTCTACAGGTTCTGTTTTTTCCATAGTCCTGCTAATCCTCTGAAGTCTATGGATCTTAATTACTTGTTATTGATGTCACAATTACTCAGGCCGGAGAAGATGTGCACAACTGAATACAGTACATAGATATCTTCCTCTCATCAGCTCTCTAACATTAAGGAAAAGGTAAAAAAGAGGAGAGCTGCTTTATATTTCATTATATTTTTGTTGGGATATTTCAGATTGTTTATCACTTCTGATTCCAGGGAAAGTAGTGAATTACTCCCATGATTTGTCCTTGGGTGACTGTTGCCATCTCTATTTAATCATCAATCATTTCTCAGGTTATTTCAGTTAAAACACTCAAATGGAAGTCTCCAAGGTGATAGACCTGCTAAAGTAATTTGCAGTGGATTTAAGGGAAAAGGAAGGGAAAAAAAGATGAAAAAGAGAGATGTACTTCCAACTAGTGATTTAGAAAAGATTAATAAAATAAAGCACTATTTTCATCTATTTTTGCAACAGACAATTTCATTAGAGAGGTGCATAATGGCCTGGGAGTATCCAGAAAGCTTGAGACAGAGTTTATTTTATTTAATGCTCTTAATGTTCAAACAACCTCAGTACGAGAGCATCATAGCAATGACCAGGCAGAAACTAGTCACTTCTTTCTCTCTCTCTCTCTCTCCTAGACAGCACATCAGCAAGACACTTAGTTAAGGTACAGACTTAGAAATCTGCATTTTGGGGCAATGTTTGGCTAGTTCTCAAGGGAAATGCAAAAGAGGATTTGACTACAAAGTCCCATAAAGTGTTGTGGCACCTTGGGAAGTAACACAGTTACTCTCCTGTCCCCAGGCACTTGCTCTTGCCCCACTCTACCCCTCCTAGCACCATCATGCTGACCCACAGCCCAGAGGCTCCTCAAATGTGCACCAAAGGAAGGCTGGAAGGGGTCTGGAAGAACTGGGGGGATGGGAGAACTGGCTTGGCAGGG